AGATCTTTTGAAGTTTCACCAGCAAGTACAAATCGTTTCGGAAACTCTTTTATCAACTTTTATGCTAAGAAACATTACAAATCAGATGTTCCTTGAACATTTTAGAATTTTTAACTCATATAGATTAGTATATTTAAGTATATGATATATAATATATTAACAATTTCTAAATTGCATTGTAATATAGAATTTTTTACTATTTATAACCTTGTAACACTTAACGTCATGTAATTCAGTCTTCTGACTGCCAGATGATGTTTTTATTAAACAAACTATTCATTCATTCATTCAGGTTACAGGACACCCTTTTCGGCGTTTTGCGGAAAATCGCTACTGCTCGCTCAATATCATTCCGATTTTCATCAAATTTTCACCAAATGTTCGCCAGTGCATGAAAATATGGTAAACAATACAAACAATAAAATAATGGAAGAATTATTCAGAAAAATCTTAAAACACCGCTACCTTTACCCGTTTGAGTTGTCTTCCTGCTTGTTTTACCACTGCAATATATTTCTGAATCGTTTGAGTGAATTGCTCCTTATTATGAAAATATCTAAATTAGACTGAAAAAATCCGAACACAATTTTGAAACTGACGTCTTTAGCTATGTCCTGTGAGCATTTGAGAAAAATTGGTTAAAACCCACAGGAAACAACTCGTTTGAAAATCAGTAATTACCGTAAAATTCTTCGGGAAAAAATTGAATTTTAATATTACATTTTCAATGTTTTTCTTATTGAGCGAAATGTATTCGATTAAATAACTGTACGAGTTTTCTATATTTTTCATTCAAACTGGGTCAGTGATAGTAGAAGTGGTCTAATGCTTTCATGGAAACGAATAAAAAAATTTAAGCAAAATTACTAAATACTCAAAGGTGTTCTGTAACCATAAAAGTAGAGTAATACGAGCAACAAAATTGCTGCAACTTGCAACAAAATCTGTTTTCTACGCATGTTAATTGAAAATGTTTACACATAAATTACAAATCGCGAGGCAACATGTGTCAACATTTCTACTTAACATGCGTTGAAGTCAGAGTTTGTTGCAAGTTGCAGCAATTTTGTTGCTCGTATTACTCCAGCTTAAGGAAAATGGTTCGAGAAGACTACTTTTAAGGCCGAACAGTGGCAATTCATTTTGCATTGATATTGAAGTTGTGTAGTCGTAAAATATTGTTTCATTTTGGACGTGTGCAATCCTATTACACTGGCCTGCAGGCCAAGAGCGGTAAATCCCTCTTTTCCTGTTTTTTTCGTACTCGAGAAATGGAATTTGCGTTAGCTCATCGCAGGCTCAGGGTGCAACGATTAAGCCAAAATGCCATGCATGGATTCCCTCGGTTCCATGATTAAGATAGCATGGTAATATGCTCGTATTTATGTACGTAATAGTCGACTCATGCCATGCTTGTGGTACATTTTTCGTTTATTAGCCCATACACTTGTACGCACGCGCACAATTCCGAATTCCAATGGCGACTTTTCACAGAGTGATCAAACTATATTTTACACAGTTTCGTTGAATTTTCAAAGAATTGTGCCGGTTTCCTATGAATTTTACGTTGTGTCGTACTCTGGACTTTCTTGCGTGTTGAATTAATGTGTTTTTCGTTGTGTAACGACTCGAAAACAACAAAATTTCGACCCAGCGAATTTATACAATATATAGAAGGATATTAGCAAGACGCCTGCTCAGGGGTTCACACTGGGCTGCTTGAAAATGAGGACATACGCGCTATGGTGTAATAGACTCAAGGGAGTGGGGAGCAAGAGAGTTCGTAGAACAGTTTGAGCGGTTGATACCGTAGATTTATCCAAAGAAAATCAATATTTCGACAAAAACCCGAAAGCAAAAATTGTTTGAAACCTGGAGTTGCGTTTTTGCACAAGTAACGAAGCTTCATAGGAAAACGATATACTATAAAAATATTATAAAATAAAACAGTGATGTATAGGTAACATCTCTAGTGCTTTAAACATATTTAGTTGAATATCAAATGTATAGTAATAATATCTCTATAGAGAGTATGTTGGGTTCACACAGAAAATCACTTGACCATATTCAGCTTTATCAAATCATTGTCGTGGATCATTTCTTGGTACTAAAACAATGAGATACACTATTTCATTGCCTTTCGGTTGCCTTGAACCATCCCTTTTTGAACAATGGAGATTTTGCCCTACGCAATATTACAAGGCCTCGCCAAAAGACAACAAGGAGTCATCTAAAGAAAAACAAAAAATAAAATAAGACAACTATACGCTTAAGTGTTTCCTACAGTTCAGCGTTTTCAGTCAACACCGCAGCCGATCATCCCCAAGACAAAGATTTTTTTAACATTTTATCTTGCTTGCCCGATTGGGCAAATTGCCTTGCCACAAAAAGCTGGGCATCTTTAAGTTTATGTTCTCATTGTCGGACAAATTTTTTATAGTGCATGTACTTGATTCAATTTTTTTGTGGGCCAAAGCTAGATCTGAGGCAGTATAAACATAGCCATATAGAGCAGTGGGAGAATGTGTCGACATGTTGTCCATTTAATTTATATCTAGGTACCCCAGTGGCCGTCGTCTGATGGCAAGTGAATTTTATTCAGGGCAACTATCTTTCATGTTCAACTTGCCCTGAGGACAAGTGTTCAACTTTAACAATAACGTTTTGGTGCGGTTATGTGCATTCAAACATCAGAACTGCAATTTGTTGTAAATTTGTTGGTACAAATTTTGAACTTGTTGGCACAAATTTACCATGTTTTTTTTCATAAGATTATCAATTTAAGCAATTACACTTTGGTTGAGACTTTGCACTTTGGTCGAACTTTGGTCATTTAACTGAATAAATTTTTCTTTAAAATGTTTTGTATTTATTTATTTCAATTAAAGCACTCACTTAATTTCACTTTTATAGTCGTAATAGGCATAATTACAATTCTGGGGGAGCATTCCCCCATACCCCCCTTGAAATCTTGTGCCTTTGGCACTCGCGTCCCCCCCCCCCAATATTTTGCAAAGTTTCCGCCGCTGGGCATAATACTCATACATAAGGTATCGTAGCATTTTTGTTTGTGTCAAAGTCATTAGTTCCACTCTGGTGTGTTCAGGAAACATATAAATTCGACAAAGTTGGAGTGGAAAATGGCCTTTAGGGTGGGGGTTAGGATCAGGGTTTTTTTATTTTTAGGTTACCTAGAACATGATTTTTGAAGTAAACAATTTTATATTCACTGGTTTCATTAGGTTAGGGTAGAAAATACGAATAGGGTGGGGGTTAGAATCAGGGTCTATTTGTAGGTTAGGGAGAGTTTAAAATATTTTTAATAAAGGATCTTCGTTCTTGAATCTTGATAAATAAAATGATGTCAGGTCAGTTTGCTTGCTAACATAAACAGGTCTGGAAAATTCACACACGCACTGTTTTTAAATTAAAATGAAATTATAAACAAATATTAAGCTTTAGCAGAAACTCAAACTTGCATCAAAATGTTGTTTTGTCTTTTAATAAATACGCAAAAGTTTCAAACAAGCCCAGTCAAGCGGATTTCACACTACAGAGTACAAGCCATGACAAACGGAAGTATAAAATATTTATACAATTAAACATCGACCTGTGTACGGGAAGAAGCTATGAAATGCTGCATATTAACAATAACAATGATTATTCAACCTGGAAATTTTCGACCCAAATGAGATTTTATATTTATGATTTGCTTTGGGCCACACTGACAAATATGTGGCATGATTGATGATATAACATTGAACCTATTAACACGAGTTGAAAATGATACTCAAAGGTGACTTTGTACGCTCAATAGACAAGTTACAACATAGAATCAACTTAACAGTAAGTAAAGGTTTGTAGAACGTACCTGTTCGAGGTATGATGGCCGGTGAATTCATCTTTTTCAGCAACAAAAACTTGACAATGTAGCACATAAAATACAAATAGCCGCATTTAGCGTACATAAATCGTGAGTGGGATACGCAAAATTATCCTAAGGAGATGTTTGGTCCAATCAAACATGAGTATCACTCACAAATACAAACGTTATCCATAAATGCACATGGTCTCTGAGGGAGATAGGGACTCAGGAGGTCTGGAACTGGTAATTGTGCGCATGCGTATGGGCTATTAAGAAAGATGTACCACAAGCATGGCATGAGCCGGCTACTACGTACATAAATACGGAGCTTGTTGCTATGAGAACAAAATCAAGCAGTCGAGGAATCGATGGCATTTGAATCGATGGCATTTTGGCTTAGTCGTTGCACCCTGAGCCTGCGATGCGCTAACGCAAACTCCATTTCTCGACGAAAATAGAAAACAGAAAATTAGGGATTTAAGACACTTGACCTTTCAGGTCAGTGTAACAAGGACAAGTTAAAGGTTAGACAGTTTGACTTTTTAATAAACAACTATAAATATACGTCGTGGACTCATAACATCCGTTGTGTACTTGTGTTAATTTTTGCGTCGCACGCTGGACTTTCTTGCCTGGTGATTTAATGTTTTTCTTTTTGTATTAAATTAAACGACTCGAAACCCCCAAAATTTCATAAATTTGTACCCAGCGAATTTATACAATATATTGGAATATAAAAAGGACAAACTCTCCTAGTTCCTTACGATAGTTTTAGTCAAATCTCGACAATATACCTTTAAATACATGCATTAAAATCCGCGCAGTACTAGAATTAAGAGAATTCGCGTAGCGCTGGCCGCTGGGTGCGGAAATTTTAGTACTGCTCGAAATATAATCCGCGCGAAAAGCTTTGTTGTTAGCTATACTAAAGATAAAGCATGCGTTCAAAATACCAACAAGAACTAGAACCATTATTGTATGCTTCTCATTTGCTAGACTTGCCACAAGTCGACCTCGAAGAAACGCATTTCGTTCGAGGTCGACTTGTGGCAAGACTACTCATTTGCCTAATACAATAACATTTAGTTCAACGCGAATTTTAATAAGTTTTAATAATAATATTTCATAATATAACAATGTAAACTAGCCATATATTTTGCCGAACATAACATAACTTCGGCTCCCATGGACGTATCTTTTTCGTAATAATATTATTGGATCCAGAATCGAAAACACCATTTATATATAGTGTTATTTCCAGGCTTGTGTCTTGGGATTTTCATCTTTTATTTCGGTATTTACAGAATATTTATATTTTTAGCGCGGCGATCAAAACAACGCGCTGTTTAAGAAAAAACGGAAATCGATTCTATAGGTCGGCATGATTTTCACGTGCATCAATCGAGCTATAAACGTGCGTGCGAGTAAAAACCCGATATTTTGAAAAATTCAGAATAAATATTCCTACTCTGTGCCGTATTCAAACGAAACTTTGTACATGAAAGCGCTTGAATACAAGATGTATTTTACTCACATTGACTCTGAGCAAATTCTGAATAGTTACTAAAGAATACTAAAGCAGGGTGCATTGCCTGTTAATAGGTTAATAAGAGACCAATGTCAGATGTGTTTGTTAACCCATTTACTGACAGTACTCTGCCATTAACAAGTAAAATCGTCTGGCGTTACAGTGTAAATTGGTTAAACTGTTATACAGTATCGTACATGACTATTTTAATTCGATCAAATGGTGATGTCGCCTGACTACTATAAATGCAACTATCTACATTATGTTCCACTGCATTTGGGAAGTAACATTGCAGCCTTAATTATTCAAATTTAGAAAGTTTTGGAGAAGAAGGAAGAACAAGAAAGGCATGGTGCAAGAAAAACTGAAGGTATAAAAATTTGAAACTTGTCCCTGAGGCAACGGCGCGTAGCCAGGGTTAGCCCTGAATAAGGATGCTAATTCCGCTTGGCTGTTTACACCCAAGTTTATTAGTTTTTTACACCCTCTAAATTTCACCAATAATCGCGGGCGCGTGGTTTTCGTGGGTGGAAACTGGTTTCAAAATATGGCTGTTTGGCATGCAGGAGTGGGATAAATAAGCAAGATTTTGAACAAATTTTTGTTTGAAGAAATGAAAAGAATTGATTTGGGAAATCGTGAAATATAAGGAAAGTTTGCCTTGAATGTTTAATGTGGTTTATGAATTTTGTTGCTTTAATTTCGTTCGTAAAACATGCACTGCAAGTGCATAAGTTTCATAAATTACCCTGTTTAATTTAAGAAAAAAATTAAAATGTAATGGAGAGCAAATTAATCAGTTAAAGACCAAAATTGAATTACTTAACAACTTTGAACATATTTTATTTTACTAGAAAATACATGCCTGCAGAAACCCTCGCCTTACTGAAAAAACATTTTGTTTCTGAATATACTGAAAGTAGTTGACATGGTAACACGATAATTTTATTAAGAAAAGTTTAAAATTGAAAAATCCCCAAAAATATCACTTTTAATTAGGAAATTATTTGGGCTCTTTTTTAAAAAAGGTTTTGAAATTTACAAAATCTTCCAAAAATATTTTGCAAAGTTATTTTGCAGTCGTCATGCAGTTGTTATAAGCAGTCGTAACCAATGAATGGTGAACCATAGCCATGTGCCCGCAATTCTTTATGTTAAAGCAATGTTTGGAAAATATAGCTTTTATACTTTTTCCGGCACAACATTTATTGTTAACGTGGGTACATTCAAATATAGTTTCTACCTTACAATAGATTTGGGGGTGACAAATACATGTCAAAATATAAAAATAACGCGTTCCGACCTTTCCAATATGTTTCGTAAAATAAAACAGTTTATAGCGGAATGGACAGGCCATCCACAATAAAATTTATCCACAATAATTTGAATAATTTTCTCATAACCACAGATAATATAAAGGTTGTTGGGAATGAAAAACACAATAAGAAACCTCGCTCAAAGAATCGTGAAAAATTAATGATTGAGAGAAGGCAGGTAGGTGAATTAGAAGGCGAAGTCAAGCGGCTCAACGAGGTAATAGAGCAAATGAAGGAAGAGAATGATAATCTGGTTTTGCAAACACATCTCCTACAAAAAGAGAATGATGACATCAAGAAAGAAAACAGAAGCTTGGAAACAATTAATCATGTCATACAAGAGGATAACATTTCTAATAGCGGCATTCCACAAATAGATTTTCAACTCTATAGAAAAGAGTTTTCAAAAACGTTGCAACTTCAAGAAGAGAACCGTAACTTGAGCAGTAAAAATTGGCAGCTCGGACGTGGGAAAAGTCAGATGGACAATGTTAATCGGCGTCTACGACAAGAGAAAAGTCAAATGGAAAACCAAATTCAGCAACAACAACAAGAGAAAAGTCAGATGGAGAACGAAAAGCAGCAACTACGGCAAGAGAAAAGTCTGATGGAGAACAAAATTCAGCAACTACGAAAAGAGAAAAGTCAGATGGGAAACGAAGTTCAGCAACTACAACAAGAGAAAAGTCAAATGGAGAACGAAAAGAAGCAACTACGGCAAGAGAAAAGTCAGATGGGGAACAAAATTCAGCAACTACGACAAGAGAAAAGTCAGATGGGAAACGAAGTTCAGCAACTACAACAAGAGAAAAGTCAGATGGGGAACGAAGTTCAGCAACTACAACAAGAGAAAAGTCAGATGGGGAACGAAATTCAGCAACTACGACAAGAAAAAAGTCAAATGGCGAACGAAAATCAGCAACTACGACAAGAGAAAAGTCAAGAGATAGAAAATGAGATTCAACAGCTTCGACAAAAAGACATTATAGAAAGTGGATCAGTAGTGCTTTCCAAAGAAGAAGTAGGAAGAGGTGCTTATGGCGCTGTTTACAAAGGAGACTTTAATGGGACTGAGGTAGCAGTTAAAGGATTTCACAAAATAATTTTGTCTTCACATAACTTGCAAATTCTGGAACGCGAAATTACTATCGCATCGCAATGTCGCCATCCGAACTTGCTACAGTTTATATGTACGACAAGTAATCGTGAAAATCATCTGTTAATTGTAACAGAACTTATGGATATGAGTTTGTATAGATTGGTTGAGCAACGTAAAGAAGAAAAATTGCGATTGGAATATCAGGAAGTTAAATCAATTTCCATGGATGTTGCACGTGGCTTGAACTACCTTCATTCAAAAAAGCCAAACCCAATTATCCATCGTGATGTTAGCAGTGCCAACGTATTGTTATGGATTGAAAATGGCGCAGTAAGAAGAGCGAAAATATCCGATTATGGTGCAGCAAATTTCATGGAAGCGTGCAAGACCGCAAATCCTGGAGCAGCACTTTACGCTGCACCTGAAGCCAGTTTTACTAAACATGATCCAAAGGTAATTATATAAAATTATGTAACAATTTTCTTCTTTTATTTGATTTTGAAAGAAGCTTCTTTAATTTAACAGGGAATTTTAGATGATTGCTTCCTGTAGTTTGAGTCCAATTGCTCAGACGGTTCAGTGGCTATCCTGTATATGTATTTTAAAATTCCTCGCTAGCCCAAATATACGTAGCTACATATACGACAAACTGATGAACTTATTTCAACCTGGCCATGTTCAAAACCAAACGTGTTCGTATGGCACATATTGGTAACTTTATTAATTCAACATTATAACTTACGTTCCAAGAATACACAATCATGCATGCGGTCAAATTTATCCATTTCCCGCTTTACAGAGAGCTATATCTAATGGGCTATATGGGTGAAAGGTGATCACCTCGTGAAAATATTTATAGGCCTACAGTTGAACCATAAAACATGCATTATTTTCATACTTGGTATCAGTCCTACTTTTTCGAGTTCCTCATTCCCTAAAGTTTGCCGTTGAAAAAACCCCGAATTCACCAAAGCTCAAAAATGACCAAAACAGGGATCTTCTAGGACTTGTAACAATGTGTTTTAAGGCATGTGTCTATAAAGCGAAGTAATATACCTAGCGCGATTTGCTTATAAATAAATTTAGAACACGGTTTTGTTTTTTGGTGTTTCTAAAATATTCTTGGTATCATTTCTACAGATCGATGTCTTTAGCTATGGCATACTGGTATGTGTGATGTCCATCTGTGAACAACCTGAATCCAGTGAAGTTGGAAGAAGGAATCAAATATATAGAAATCCAAATGCCAATATTAAAAATTTGGTTATCGCTTGTACCAGAATAAAGTCCAGCACAAGGCCAACAATGCAAGATGTAGTTGAATTTTGGCCACACTTGAAGGAATGAGACCTATGATCCTACATTTACCCCCTTTATAGTTAGATTTGGTAAGTAACACCGCAATCAAACGTCCGCGCATTGACTGTTTGTTCGCACAATCATCACGAATCTCTATAGCATAAACTATGTTGCACTATATTCATAATTTGTGTGTGTGGATTGTGAAAGGTAAACAAACATAACATCTGTCGAGTCCATCGGCAGACCATCTTTCGTAGGTTATTAGTTTGACACCAAAAAATCTTGTTGATTTGTATTCAAAGAGCTCGAGTGCGACTTGTTTGACTGCGTCTCACTTGTCAATTATTTTTAATTTTGTCAGCAGATTCTCGTGTTTAGAATAATGCATTTACATATATATATATATATATATATATATATATATATATATATATATATATATATATATATATATATATATATATATATATATATATATATATATATATATATATATATATATATATATATATATATATATATATACAGTATAGTTGTAGCTACAACACAAGGGAAGTCACAGAGTTTAGTTCTTCGCTGCAAATACAGTTGGACAAAATCAATTCTATTATTCATGAGTACACAATTGCCTCAAGCATGCATTTCATAACACGATTTTCTGCTAGCTATGAAAATTTGCACAAATTTCCACATCCTAATTGGAATATACCTGTTGCATATATAGAAGTGTCAAAAATTTGTATTCTGCAGGGATGGGGTATGCACATTCATTACGCAGGTTCCTAGTTTGGAAATGCTCTTCGACATAGCTGTCACAATAGGTATAATTTAATGTCCGTTGATTTCATGGTATTTGATGGAACATTACTATTCAAGTATTCTAATCTGTTTAGCCATCTACCAATCAATGTTGGTATCGCTAAGGCAAGAGAGTGAGGCTCGAGGACGTATACTCAGTGACTGGATTAGAGGAGACTCACTAAATGTTGAGTTGCAGTTATTGAGACCAGAAGTGGCCCTACAGTGGGGTGCGTTCGCCCATTTTTCCTTTGTCCTTTTCTTCTCGCTTTTTTGTTCTTCTCCCTTTTTTCTCGCTTTGTTGTTTTTCGCCCTTTTTTTCTCGCCTTTTTTTGTCTTCGCCTTTTTGTTTTTCGCCCTTTTCTCTTCGCTCATTTTTTTCTAACCCGCCATTTATTAAAACAATCCTCAAAACCTTCAATGAAATAAAGCGACTGCTACGCAGGCTATGCCAGTGGACACACCCTTGATCTTGTAATTTCCAGTGTGATGATAGCATTGTTAAAGACATTACATTTAGGTACCCTGTTATATCTCATCATGTGCAGTGTTCTTCAAGTTGTTTTCGCAGAAAACATCAACCTGTGAATAAAATTATTAACTCCCGGAAATTACATCACTTAAATATGGACCTGCTTTGTGATGAAATTATGCACTCGTAACTAAGCTAATCTGAGATAAAAATGTAATATATTAGATATTTAACAATTATTCACCTCAGTGTCAGTGGAAAATGAAGGGATATTCAC